TATAACAAGGAAGAATTCTATAACTATTGCAGTTCTTGACGTTCTTAATTCACATTTCTTTATTGGAATGACGAAAGCAATGTTGACTTCATTTTAATTTGTAATGAATTCAAGACAGAAAAAATTATTTTGCCGTAATATACACATCTGTAACAGCAAGTGATCATGAAATTGTAAGTTATGTTGTTGGTAATAGAAAGGTAAAAATTATTGAGAAATTGTTCTTCAAATGCTTGGCGTGTTCTGCTTAGTTTTTTCAAGTTCTTCAGCTGTTCCTTAGGGAAATTTTGATTTTTATTTGCTGCTAAGATAATGGCGTCCGTCATGGCCGATGATTTTGATGGAACTAAATGAAAACGTGATAAATTAATGTCTGATATTTACAGGCTCCCGATAGAGGGCGTACTCGAGCGTTGCGATCGCGAATGTGAAAACTGTTTAATGTTTGTATAATAAATGTAATTTACTTTTACTGAACAAATAAATCTTAAAATGTGTTTTCTGGAAAACTGAATTTTTGTGTTTTTCGATTCACGCTGGACCTTATTTCTCAAAAACCATTATGAATTTTATGATGCAATTTTGTAACACTGTTATAAATAATATTATCTGTGTTCTGAACTAGAACTAAAATTCTATTTCAATATTTGATTATTTTATAGCTATGAAAATCCAAAAATCTTCAAAAATATATCGTTATTTTGCTGTTTCTCTACGTAATAGGGCATATTTCACTAAATTTTTAAAATTTCGATTAACTTTTAGTTCAGAACACAGAAAAGGGTTAAAATAATATATATTCCAAAGGAAATTGCATTTTATTAAACACAACTAAGTTGAGGGTGTCCAGCGTAACTCTTAAAAATCACTAATTTTTGACCTAAATTCAACAAAATTTTATAAACTATAAAATATATTGTTATAATTTTTCTTATTTGTGTCACTTTTTATCCCATTTTATATAACTAAGCATAAAATTCCTTTAAAATTTATTTTTTTAAAAAAAAGTTCACCGAACGTGGGCAGTCGCCTTAATAAAAATAAAGGCAAAAGCAAATTTCATTCAAATTGCGCGTTTTCAATAATTATTTATATTTAGTATGCAATTTTTGGTTATCACAACTAAATATAGTTTTTGAATTGTTTTAATAGTTGTCATTTGAAAACTATTAGATTGTTTATTATTAGAAAGTTTTTGAATTCACATTCATTTTATTTCTTTCATTTAAAAAGTAGATTTTTGTTTTAAATTTTATCATTATTATATTTCTTATTTAATTTATTTAATTTGTATTGCTTTTTTATTATTAAAAATAAATATGTGAATTTTCGATTTAGCAAATTTGCGACCACTGTCACCTTTTGCATTTCTTTTTGTTTGAGAGAGATTATTTGCAAAAATATGCCGCCTAAAGGAATCGCTCTTAGTCGATCAACATCTCAAGCACGCAAAAAGAGAACTACCCTTGTTTCAGAAACATCGAAGCAACGGGGAAAAAAACTTAAAACTAATCGAGAACACAATGCTTTAGCCCGCTCCTTAGAAACGTCTGAGCAACAGGAAAGAAGACTGTTAACAAATCAATTACGCACTACTCAAGCCCGTTCGTCGGAAACATCAGAACAACGGGATACAAGAACGAAAATCAATCAAGAACGCACTTCGCTATTCAGACGCTGCCAATACTATTTGAATCTCAGTGCATTTCACTAAGATCCGACAGCCAACTATAGTCTTTCACCCAAGCGTCATCATCGGAAAAATGGATCAATTATGTATGTTTTGTAAGTTCTCTCAAATTTAAGAATGAAACAGCTAGAATTTGCTGTTCTGGAGGCAAAGTGAAACGAACAGATTTAACGTCGCCAGCCGAGCCATTATCAACGTTGTTATCGGGTCAAGCAAATGAATAGAAACTTTTCTTGGCGAATATATGTCGGTACATTCGTGTTTCCAAATGACTTCATTCGGTGCTACAAGTATCGGTGCTCATATGGGCAGCCAGAGTTATTTATTACATTCACATTCAATCCTGCTTGAGCTAAATTAAAGAGCTTTTGTAAGCTTGGCAAACATCATCGGATCTTCATGATGCATTAGCGCACGTGAATTAAAACAAATATTAAGCTCTATACTTGGTTTTATTGCGAAGCGTCATGCGTTTGGAGAGACACGGTGTTTGATGTATTCTGTTGAATGATAAAAAAAGAGAACTGCCACTTGATTTGGCTTATTGAAAAAAATCACACCATGACAAATTGGTCAGCTCATATCAGCAGAAATACCTGATGTCACCATTAATCCAGACTCTTTTCAGATCATCATCCAAAATATGTTTCATGGTCCGTTTGCATCACCATACATGTCTGTTTGAAAATGTACAAACGATATCATAAAGAATTAACTGTTGAGACTATCACTAGTTTTTTCACCATTAAATAAAATTCTCATTTCAAATCATAATCGCAAATCTCATTTACGCACTTAAATACAAAATTAAAATTCAAACTAAAAGCGTTGCAACGCACTTAGAGTAAACCTAGTAATATATACAACTTTCTTCAATGAATTCTATTAAAACTCAATGCAATATTAGACATTAATTGTTCGAACTATACTAAATAAAAAATCTTTGGCGAAAAATGCTTAATAAGTACCTTTATTAACCAAGTATTGAATAAGAATTTTAGAAACAAGTTTGTGGATGAAGTTGTAGCGGTATAGGATAAAATAATTAGGTAACAATTTTATATCAATAGAATTAGAAACTAAATTCGTGAAACTAATTCTTTATTAATGCTTCGGGTAATTTAATTTAATTTATTTCTATTTTGATAATCTGTTTATCGTCAAATACTGAGGATGCTAAAATATATTTTTTCGACAAATATTTTTTAATAAAAAAATAAGAATGCTTAATGCCGTACATTAAAACCCATAATGGCTGCCGCTGTTTGAGGTGTTCAGTTTTACGTTATGCGCTTTATCATTTAGTGAGCTGTATAGTACTAGGCGTTTGAAAAGAAGAAAAAGCTTTAAGCGATTAAAATACAATGTTAGAAATTTTTCGGAAAAAATGGTTAAATAACAATTTATTCTAAGGTTATTTTACTATATTCAAACGAAACAGCAAAATAACCTTAAATGATATGATATCAAAACTGTTAATGAGAGAAAAACCTATTATTTATTAACACTGCCTTCACCTAATACGGTTAAAAAAAACAGAATTTTATTGCACCAAATAGGCCCATGTAATGAAGGCACTTTGTTCTTTGCAGATGGGTACATATTATAGCCGAGAAAACTAATCTGTCAACTTATATCAGACAGAACGGGTGTTCGAATTCCAGCCTTGACACTACAATGTTTCTTCCTTTCTCTTTAACACATGAAGAGATTCCCGTGTCTCCAATTTGTGACCCTGGGCTATAAGAATACGGTATTCTTATTCACATAGAGGTGGTAGCATCATAGCGCTGCTAAACTGTCTCCAGTGTCCAATTATTATTATTTTTTTGCAGTTTTGAAACTATGCTAGTTGAAAATGGTTAAAAAAAACCGTATACTTTTGTATTCATGGTCCTTTTAACCATACTAGTTGTAAGCGGTTTCAAAACCTTAAAGGCAAAAAATGTTTACGGTTAATTGGATGGATAGATTGCAGCCGGTTATTTACCCTAATTTTAGAATGAAAATTTTAACAATGTATGATTCACGATAAACGTGATTAATTGGAAGGTACGTTTGATATAAATATTTATAAAAAGGCTTAGTGTCTGTAACTTAGTGTATTTTAATAAAAGGTTAAAGCGATTAAGATAATTTTATCAAGATTGATTGTATCATGAGCAAAACACAGATTTTGTCTTTTCTTTAAATATCAGCATCGCATCTCTTTAGTCGTATCATCTTATCTTATCTTATATTTATCATGTCTTACGTAATTGTTATCATTGTTACATAAGAATTATTGATACATAACTATTTTCTATTGAGATTACATAGTTTATTTGATAATCCTATTTAACAATAATTTTAAAACATTATTTTCAATAAATGCTAAGAATTACTTTATAGTTATTATTTGAAAAATATATTACTATTTTTTTACGAGCGTGAAATAAAACATCCCTCTACTTGAAAATTCCACATTATATAAATTAAGAAATAAAACATTGCTGAAAGGATTATTTAAACTAAAAATTTGGTTTTATTAATATTAAATGTTTGTGTTCCCGAACATCGTCATTGGGTTCCGCAAAGCAAAATTAAAAGCTTGGGGCAATATAATGACAAGCCACATTTTAAAATTGTCTAGAATAACATTTTTGATGAAATACATCGCGTTTTTTTATGTAAAGAATGTTTTTGTGTATTCTGCTGCTATCTAGTGAAAATTCCAGATACTTGTAAAACACCTATCGAGAAACAATACCGAGAATTAATTCGATCGACACTATCTTTGTATAAAGAATGGCTTATCACTGTACTTCCCCAAGCCCTTCATTTAGTGATATGATAAAGTTTTATTAAAACCAGTTTTAAAATGAAGTACACAAAATTAAAATAATGACTCTTCACTCCAATTGGTTCAGTTTGGAAAGAGTGTAGCTCATCATAATAGTTCCCTAAGCCCTTCAATTTGCAATATGATCAATTTTCATTAAAACCATAATTTTTAAAATGAAGTTTAGAAAACTTAAATAATTAATCTTCATTCCAAATGGCGCATTTTGAAAAATGTACTGCTTAGAACTCAATTAACAATATGAAGTTTATAAAAATCATTTTTTTTTAAATTGAAGTACAGCAAGCTAAAGTAATGAAACTTTAATCTAATTATTTCCCAATAATAAAATTGTGGCGTATCTTTTCATATAAGTGTATCTTATCTTATTTAAAGTGTGTGTTATCTTTAATTAGTAATATGATAAAGTTTATTAAATTCATAATTTTAAAAATGTCTAAAGTATAGAAAACTAAAATAATGAAGCAGTTTTTAAAAATATACAAAATACTTTATTGTAAATTCTTTCATACTCACAATCACATAAGTGATTTCAAATCAAACACAGACACAGAGGTTACAAAATACAAATGCTAAAATATTAAAACAACACAAAAGCATCAGTATGATGCGTAAAAAAAAGACATTGTTAATAGATCAAACTTTCATAGCATGAACAATTTTTTTCATTAACAATATCATATTTAAAAACGATTATGACAATGATTTAATATAGTTATGATGAAAGGTTAGCATGATGTATTGTGTTAAATCTACCATTCCAGGACTCCAGGCATGTACTTGTCAATTAGAGATTGGTAATATGGCATCAATTCTTTAATGTCAGGAATATCATGGCTCTTGGAGTACAAATCGAATTTACTGAAATAAAGATTTTTGATGATAAGTTTTTTTCCCCCTTCTAATCAGTCTACTTCACTACAATTATTATGAATAAAAAAATCATCATTACTTATTCTCCGAAGTATATTTCTCTCTTAGTTTAATTGGTAAAATAATTTTGATAAAGGTTTTAAATGTATAGCTGGAGCAGGAAGATTTATTCAAAAGTATTTAGTTTAATTTTGGATTGTAAAACAACGAAGAGAAACAACTGTATAAGGGAAAGAAAAAGTTTAAACACCAAGTAACACAGTCCTATTGAAATAATAAAATAAAAAAACATTAAGAATCGATTAAGTTGCTTTTTATTATTCATTTGTGCTTCCTACATTGTTTTTAAATTATTATAAAAGAGTTTACGGTAGAAAAACATTTATACTTCAATGAATTTGAATGTATGTCGAATATCCTGACTTAGCATACAGGAATTAATCTTTAATACAGAAAGATTTATATTTTGATTTGATTGGTTTCTTCATTAAAAGTTCAATCTACATTGAATAAACTGAATAATCCGTTTAAATGCTGCAAACGTAAAAGGAATTCTTTCGTAACCCATCATAATTTTAGGTTCTATAGTTACGAAGAAAAACAACGCGTACAGCGAAAATAAAAAAAAATTAAGTACCAAGTATCATAATCCCATTTAAATCTTTAAAAAAATTAGCAAAGTTAAGTTACTTTTTGAAGTTTATGCGTGCTTTGTTATTTTAAAGGAATTTATATTTGAAAAATGTTTATAATAAAAAATGTTTACTTAAATGTATGTGAAATTATGTTAAATAACCCTACTTAGCATATGAGAATTAATATTCAATACAGAAAGGTTTATATTTCGACTTGATTAGTATCTTCATTAAAAAGTTCAGCCTAACTGAAAATGTTAGAATAAAGAATTCTTTAAGTTCTGAGAATGTAAAACCGAACTCACTTGAATTCCGTCACCCATTTGTGCATTTGTCTGTCTTTTTCATTGCAAAGGAAATCGTAGTCTCCATTCAAGTGCCATGGATAAAAGGAATGGAACCGGATCATGTAAAGACCTTCCTCTGGAATGGTGCATTTGTTGTGCTTCAGCGCCTAAACAATATCAAAAGAAAAACAAAGGTCATAAAACGCTACATAATCAAATTTCGATTTCAAAAGAGTTTAATGGAGGATTCGTTGCCTGTGTTGTTTCGAAAACTCACGATTTTGCAGTTTAAAAATATTATATTTTGTTAAATAAAGTTCATTATTTAATTTTCTTCTTTTGCTTTGGTGAATAGTCGGAACTTTATTGAATGTACGAAATATTTGTTAACTGCCATTATTTCACATTTGTAGCAACAAATGTCTACATTCAGCAAGAACTTCTAGTCAGTGTTGGATAAGATATTTTTGCTAAATACCACTATTTCTCATTTTAATCTCTCCTTTCCATTTCAGTCTTATTTTTTCCTTTTCATTTTAATCTTATTTGTGCAGAAATGGCAGAATTGAAAAGGGGAAATAATAATAACCTAATTTTTATTCTTCAAAATTCATCATCAATGGCCTACTGAATGACGAAACTTGTCGCAGTATGTGCGAAATACATAGAAATTGCGAAACATATGTGCGATATATTTAACTAATATTTTAGACATTTGGCAAAACAACCAAGTACATGCCAACACTCAACAAATTTGGGATTCTCACGATAATGAACATTCTAAAGCTGACAATTATTTTTTAAGGAAAAAAAATCATTAAGAAGCAAGAAGATTTGGTTGAAAGAAAGAAAGGACGTACCTGATACATGTACTCATCATGTCCCCAAGACATAATCACGTTCTCCAATCCACAGTTCTCAGAATAAATGCCAAGTCGTGTGTTGTAATTGGGATTGTAAAGATCTGGATTCTCAGAGAAGCTGGTGTTCCGGTAAACAATAGATGGTGCAAAAGCGCACCCAACAGGGAAAGTGTCACCAACGACACACCATTGAGGTTCTCCGTACAGAGCCATCAACTTTCCCAAATCATGCACTAAGCCTGTCAGGTGGAACCAATCCAATGTTGGATGAGCCTGTCTAATACGTTCAGCAGTTTGAAATGCATGGACATTGTTTGGAATGTCAACATCGGGGTCGCTCTCGTCCACCAAGCAGTTTAACTTTTCTAGAGCTTCCATTACAGTCAAACGAGCTTTGTTGAATTTTGTCCAGTAAGCAATCTGAAAGTAGATCGAAGAAAAGGGAAATTATAATACTTGATCTCAGTCAACTCTCGTAAGATAAGCAACAAACTTAAAAAAAAAAAAAAAACATAATAGAAGACTGGTTCTTAAATTGATTACAAACAAAAATTAACTAAGGGTAGATAGATTAATATGGTAAAAATTTACTTTAAAACACAGGTGCAAATTCATGCTGAAGCAATCAAGAGAGGGAAAATACAACAATTCATGCGGCAAGCTTAACTTTCCTATACAACAAGCAATAATTTGACCAGCACCAATAAATACAAGGTAAAGGTACATTTTTAAACCGATAGTAATAGAGTTACTTTCAGTTTAATATTGTGTGGTGAATACGGGTGTTAATGGTGTTAACAAGAAAAACATTTGCTGAGAAAAGCTGCTGGAATAGCATGCATGCAATACGATAGACTCTACAATTTTAACCCAAGTAGTATTAAATTACACAAAAAAAAATCTGAATTCTTATTTTCAATTAAAAAAATTTTTTTTGCATTTAGCTTTCTAATTTTACACAACTTGAAAACTAATACTACCATCAACAAAAATTTTGTGTCTCTCTCATTTTGTTTAAAAATTTATTAGAAAAATGAAAATTTTATTTTAAGCAAACGATTAAAAACATGTTGGATTTTTGAAACCGTTTTTTATTATAAATTCGACTTTATACGAAATGAAGCACATCAAAACACGTTTTGGAGTTACAAATTGTATAATTTAAAAACTTATGCAAGTCACATTTTATTTTAAAAAAAGCACTTTAAAATACGAAACGAAAGCAATATATCAAGCTTACGATTTTAAAAGTGGTGGATTTTAGAAATCATTTTCTATTTCGAATTTATGTGTGGCAACAACGTATAAATTGTGCAATATCTGAAAGCTAATTGAATCCTAATTTTACTAGAAACCAAGAATTCAGAATTTTTATATCCTCTGAAAAATCTTGTTGGCTTTCCAAAATTTAACAAGTTTGTATGAGGAAGAAAATGATAATCCAAAAGAATTATGCAGTATGAAAAAATTTCAGGTTTCACACTATAAATAAAAAAGCACATTTAATGAGCAGAAGTACAACTAGACCCTTTTATGACAATTATTTAAATTCAATAGAAGAAGAAATTAGGTTTAGGTAAGCAGCACCAGTACTGAGTGAAGAATGTAAGAATGTCATCCTAATTTCATGTTTACCTTTGACTTCAATACTTACAAATCAGTTGACTGTTAGATGTAGGGCCCAGCTGTAAAGAACACATTTATTAACCCGCAACAGCAACGAATTCTTCAACTGCAACACTCATCTTAAACTGCTTTCATCTATGAATGTCACAAAAAGTAGAAAACTTGTTTTTAGACTCAAAAGATTATACAAGCTCTACTTGTTTCTCATTCTTGTAGTGGTGACACAATGCTTATGCAATTCGATAACTGTGCGCTAATGCTTATTCCTCTGTCACAATTTTGTGTAAAAAGCAACAGTGAAATTCAGAGAAATAAAAATATATTATTGTAATTAGTGACTTCTGAAAATATTTACTATTTGAAGCGAAATCAAATTCATGCGAGAAAATTTAAGAGATAAATTTCAAACCTGAAATTTTGTTTCTTTTTTAATTATCTAATCTTATGAACTATTTTGATACAGTTTTTTTTTAAGTTTAGAAATAGTAATGTTTAAATTTGAATTTTCCGGCAACTTTTGAGAAATTAGTTGTTTTAAAAGTGAATGAAATCAAAAACAAAAAAAATTAGAAAAAGAAAAATTAAATGTGCAAAAAAAAAGAGGAACAAAACAAATAAAATATTTTTGAAATTCGATTCAGTTACGTAGAATATCTGCCATGTATTTAAACAAAATTTGAAGGTTCAGCTAGAATACTTATTCTAATAGTTCTCCTCTGATCTGAAAACTAAATTATATTTGAAATGGAAATGAAATGATCTCAATTATAATGAAAAATCTCAATTATATTTCTGAAATGTTTTTGACGTTACCAAACAGAATTTTTAAAAACATTTCTGTTTTATACTACACAAAAAGTTTTTGAAAATTAATGAAATAAAACTCATTTAAATCTCATTTCTTGAATATGTTGATTTTTATTTAGAAAATTTGATTTTTGAAATTGAATCTAAGAACTTTCTGACAAAAATAAATTTTAGAAGAATAAAAAGTTTCTAAAATTGATTAAAAAAACTTTTGAATATTTCTCATTTAAATATATATTTTTATTAAATTTATTTTTGATGTTAATTAATTATTTTTGATGTTAATTAATTTATTATTAAATTTATTTTTGATGTCCTTTGTCAAAAAATTGAGCTTAATTATAAATAAATAAAAATTCAGCGACTCAAAGCTTGAATAAAATAATCGAAAAAAAGAACGTGCCAAAATGCAACGAAATTTATTAAATAACTTATAAATAAGTATTAATATGAGAAGTCAAATATTTGAAATATGACACAAATATTCAATAAAAAGAGTTACACCTTTGAAGCAGAGTTAGCTCCATGTAGTTTACCGTAAAATATAAATTTTATTAACAAATAAAAAATTTAAAAAGTAAGCATTTAGTTCTCCGAATTGCGTAAGCATTGTCTCATATTTTAAGATAAGATTTCAAAAGACATTATCTCGGATTATATTTTTAGTTTTCTTTTCATTGAAATAAAATTTTATTTGCTACCATGAGAAAATACAAAACTTGCGTACTATTTAAAAATGATTCATTATTTTTTTAAGTTTATTGGGAATAAATATTTAAAAGAATTAAATTCTCATTTTATAACAACAAATTATCGTAATACTTCTAAAACATAAAAAAAGTTCATACAAAACACTCAATTAAAAATATAGCATTTATAACAAGATAATTGTGTTATAAAAATCTTATCTTTAGATTTATTAAAAAAAAAATTTAAATATATAATTAGAAGCTTGATATTACCTTTTCTTTCACGAAGTCTAATGTCTGATGTGTGTGCATTTTCCTATAGGTTTCTCTAACTCTCAACTGAATGGGATCGTTCTGTAAAAGAGATAAAGAAACTACTTTCTTATACACTATAAATAGTATTGTCCAAATATTTTGATGACGAATTACAAATATACCCCGGGTGATACGCAAGTTCCGACCTTGCTATGCATATTTTCAGAATCCTTTTTAAAAATGAATTCAAAAAAGTATGCACATAAGGGATCACCAATAAGTCTCTAAGAGAGAAAAAAAATGCTGTCATTTAAAATTTAACGAATATCTACTAAAAACAGGACAGAAAACATTAAAATCATTTAATTATTTTATATATTTGTTTTTATGATATTTTCCTCTAAGTACTTGAATACTTTTTAAAAATGATAAATTAAATATACATTATCTTTTTTTAAATTCATTAATTAAGATCAGTGAGGCCCTTATCGAATTCGCTGATAATTGAGGTACAACTGCAATAGTAAAAAATGATTTATCCGGCTGATAGGAAATTAAGCGTAATTAATACATAGTGCAAAATAATTGCGCTTCATTCACAGTTGGTAATGACAACAGCTTGATATAATTAGTTTTTATTTTTTATTGGAAGACGTGTATAGAAACAAATTATCCATAATTCTTTCATAAGATTAAGCTGTCTGCGCAGTTTTGAAATGAAACTGATAATTATTTAGATTCAATTACTGTTCAATTATTGGCAAAAATAGCACAAAACTATGAATTGAAACGAGCTTCCGCACAATTCTATGAAATTAAGATGATAAACCTCGCTAAAGCTTAACTTTCTAAAGTAACATATTGACAAAATTGAATTTTCGAATTCTTTGCAAGCGTGTTTAGAAATATATTTTAAAAAAATAAAATATTAAAAAAATAAATTACTAACCTACAAACTTTATTGTAATGCTAAAAAAATTACCTGAGAAATGATATAAAAATAATAAACGAAAACTAGTTTTTAAATCATCAGGTCAAAAATATTCGATCGCCTTAAGGAAATAAGCTTAAAAAAGTAAACCACATACCTAAAAATAATATGTCTTAGCAACAAAAAAAAAAAAAGTTTAAGCTAAAAGTTTTAAGTAATAATGTAAAAGTGACCAATTGAAACTAAGAAAACTAAATTTTTAACTTGCAATTCAGAAATATTCGTGTTCAAAGAAATTCAAATTAAATAAAAAATAAACAGCAAATCTTCAAATAATATGTTCTAAGCTACAAAATTGTGTTAAATAGAATTAAAGCCTTTTTTTAAATGATATAACAGTGTTAAATGAAAGAAAACTAATTCTGAAATTAACAAGTAGAAAAATATTATTTCGCTTTAAAGAGATCATTTTAAAGAATTCAAACTACAAATAGTATGTTCCAGCTACAAATTTAAAATAGAAAGAAGAAAATTGTTGAGAAATATGTGAAAGTGTCAAATAAAAAGATAATTAATTATGAGGTAGAAAATATTGTATCTTTTATCAGTCTAAAGAAAATAAACTAAAAATCTATGAATTTTATACTCACTGCTGCTTCAAATTTGAGCTATAATGGGAAGAAACATTAGCTGAGAAATGATATTAAAGTCTTTGAAAAACAAGTCAAGTAAGTATTGGATCAATTTAAAACAAAGAAAGTCGTTTCAAGAAAGAAGAAATAGTACTTACTTTAGTATCAGAATACTCTCTAAATTCATCCATTCCCTTGTTGATTTCAGGCCTGTAGAGCTCAGACGGATCCAACATCAAGATTGGATCTGTAATTTCGGAAACGCAAGGGGGAATCTGTACTGCCAAAGCTCCCATTTTCTCGGAAAGTAGTAAAATCAAGAAAAATTCAATCGAAGCTAACACGAGATTCTAATAACAGTAATGCTAACACGAGATTCAGGTCCCTTATTTATACTTAGAGGAGCTCAGTCCCTTTTGCGTTATTTGAAAAATAGATAATTTCGAGCGTAAATATCCTGATCTGTTATTGGTAAAAAGAAAGCACACCTCTCGATTTTTATTGGTGTTTAACACTGATAGACTTTATCAAAGACGACATTTCCACTTTGACGTCAAACGATTGCGTCCCAATTTTTTCTTATCCAGAAATCAGTCTCTCAGTCGCACAAGAAATAGTGAGTTCTTTTCCGTGGAAATCTGAAAGCATGAAAAAATCGTGATTTCAGTTTTATATCTTTTCATTAACTGTAAGTGCACTTGCAATATTTAATTAAATGATCTAAGAATAGGCATTTCAGAATAGGGAGAAAAAAATTGGAGAATTTCAATTGTTTTGTTTTAAATAAAAAAAAAATAATGCAGAGTTGTGAGAAAAGATTTTTTTACAAATATTTTTGTTAAAAATAATATTAAAATGAAGGATATTAAAGTCAACTGGTTTATACTACCTTCATATTATTTAATTTCTTAATTAGAAGTTTCCATCATTATACATTTTAAGCACTGCTCGCAAAGCTCTGAACATTGGATTCCTTCATTAAAGAATTTTCAATGCATTTTTATGTTAATAAATATCCTATATAATCGCAAATGTATATTTATATGAATAAATCCGTGGTAAAAGCACTTTACTTATCTTATATCCAAAAATAATATAACTAAGTTTATTAACTACTATATTTGAAAGAAATTTTCAATATAAAGTTCTTAACATTAAAAAATTTTAGCCAAAATTTCCGAAAAGCTGAGTAAGTTTAAATATACATGATATTTTAAGGCAACTTTCGATGACTCTGATCCTCTGTATTAAGATAATCGATATCCGCATTTGATTATTTGACGAATCGAATTAACGAAATCAACTCATGTGTTTATGAAAAATGTCTACTTTTTCATATTATTGTCAATCACAGTTTCAATCGGTAATTTCACAGGCAAAGTTACGTTTTCCTACTTATTGTTTATTTTGAATTAAAAAATATATTTAAATTGCAGTTAATTGTAATATGTCAATATAATTGTTTTAATTCTGTTTAGATTTCAAATAAAACTATTTTTGAAGCAATTTATCAGCAAAAGCATTCCCTTTTAAAAATAGTTTAAAATTCGGTATATTTAATTGATTATTAAGAGAAAAGTAGCTTTTCTGAATCAGTATTAATTTTTATTACTATAAGCAGGTTTGACTGAAATTGCAGACTAAAATTTACTAAAAAGGATTTTTATGTTATTTACTGCAACGCTGAGAAATATTCCGTTAATATTTCGTGTATTTTCTATGAAATGCATTCGATTAAAATAATTTATATCTTAAAATAATATTATTTATTTAAACTCAAAAGAATTCAGAAATAAATGAAAGCATTTATAACGATTCCGTTAAAATTTTTATTTATCTGTTCATTTATTTATAGGAAACAGAAGAATTAGTATCTTAACATTTAATTTTTGTTACAGAATATTATAATTCTGTTTATCTTCTCTTGTAGTTTATAATTTTTATTAGGAAAATTCCTTATATGTTACTTGCTGATTTAAAAAGAATAATATGCCTGTGTTTTAACTCATTATATTTTATTATAAAGTAATCTTGGAAAAAAAACAATAAAATAATTTTAAAAAATATTAATGGAATATCCTCTAATATTCCTATCAAATTAAAAATAATAAAGTTTTTCACAACTGTGTAATTAGTAGCTATCATTTATGACTTGAATGATTACTAAATGGTTTTAATTATTTAATTAATAACGGAACGTAATGTAATGAATAAAAATTCATCGGTAGGTTGAGTCGTTAATTATGCTATGTGAGTTGTTAATTAAGTTTCGTCGAGAGTGTCACATGGAAAATACACTAAAAATACATTTAGAACATCTAAATTTCTTAAATTTAAAAACTTAATTAAACGTTAGAAAAATGCATTTTTCTCTCACACTAAAAAATAAAGTATTTGATTTGATTGAAATGGTCAACTAGTCTTAATTAGGTAAATAGCCACAACATTAAAAAAAATTACATTATTGCATTTTCTTTCATCAAATAAAATGCGTAATGAAAATAATGATTTAATAACGCATTGATGGATTTAAAAACTTAATTTAACTGGTACTCTAGACAACACAAAAACTTTCAAAATAACTTAAATTTTATTTTTTTTGTGTTTATTTTAATTTAAATTTTTATAATTAATTTCTTATTAATATATAAAATATTTTAAGCCTATTTAAGCTTTAAATTTAGATCTGCATATTTGAAAAAAATTCTTTTTCGCTAAATATCGAGCTACTGGAAATACCGGTGAATTATTCATGCTCTGTCAAATAATGAAATATTAACTGTTATTTATTTATTTTCATTTTCAAGTTTATAGATACAAATTGAGAATGGAGTCTACACATAAAATGATTGAGAAATTCTATACTCCTGAAATCCGTTATTACTCATTTGGAATGCAAATGCGCTATCTTTTTTTACTCTTTGCAACTCAACATGAAGAAACAATAGATAACGCACTTAGTGAAATACCAGCCTTATCACTGATGTCTGCTTTTGGTCTAAGGAAGATCAGATAAATCCGGCCACTAAATAATAGAAATTGAATGATATAAATCTTGTCAGAATCAATTTGATGAACTGGAAAGGACTCATGGAGAATTCGATTTTAAAAATAGACCAAGAAAATATATTTCGAACCAGCTTCATCTGTATTATTTTGTTGCTTCGTTCCAGTGAAAATCAGCGTAAAAGAAGTTTCTGCGTTACTAAGAATAAATAAATATCAAAAAACAAAATATCTATTTATCTGAAATTTAAATAGCATTATTTCTCCATTTTTATTTAATTTCAGCTGATTATATAATTGTACGAGTACTAATTTATTTTAAAGTGCCATTAATTAAAATTGTGCTATTCATAAAAGGAGCGATAAGTTTTTTTTTAACCATAATAATTGATTGAGCGTTAACTATTGATTCATATTTAAAGAAATATGTATAATAGTTAATGAAATCTATCCCATATATGAATATTATACATATAGTATGCATATTGTACATGTTTATTTGATAAGTGTAGTTAAATATTGTATTTCGTGATTAAAAAACTTAATTTAACAAGCAATATAAGTAGACAAATTTATAATGGGAAGAAAACTTTTTATTTTTAGCTTTTAATGAAACTGAAATTTGTTGCTAAAGAGTTTAAATTAAATTTTTTATTTTTTTTAAAAATATGTACCTAAATAATCTCTTTTACTGTTATTAATATATTTTATCTTTCCCTTTTATTATTATTAATCTATTTTATTAATCCTTTTAACTATTATTAGTCTATTTTATTATTTCCTTTTTATTATTATTAATCTACTTTATTATCTTTTATTTTTATTAATCTATTTTATTATTTAGTTTTATTATTATTTTCTTTTATTATTATTTCATTAATTATGAGGCAAGTATTATTGAATGTATGTCATGAGGCAAAATCGGAAGTAATTTTTTATGGTACAAATGGCAAAATTGAATTTTATTTTATGAACATATTACGAAAAAATTTTGTGTTAGAAAGTTCTGTATTAGAAAAAAGTTTTGTTCTCAATTTTAAAAGATTTATGTATCTATTCTGAAGCAACATTCTTTTCCTCTTTAACAATTCAGTAATTGTTGTTAAAAACTGCTCTTTATCAATCAGTGATTCAATGAAATTTGCTTCAGAGTATAGCCAGATAAGTTAATCAAATGTAACGGTGAGCAAAGGTTACGTTTGTTTAACACCAACAACGTCCGATTAGAAAATATAAGTAGTTCATTCAATTAACAAATTTTTTTGTTGCATTTATACAAAAACTAGATTTTGACTCATTCATGTGTTCTGAAATCACTTTTGCTCCTAATGCTACAGATTTTTTTTTTAAATAACATTTTTAGTCTGTTTTTTTCCCCTCCTAAATGTACAAGTTGAAAAACATTGTATGTAACAGGGGGCCGTGTAAATATTGCAACAAACTTTTAGCTGAGCTAGGACACATCATCAAGATTAAAACTGCATAGGAACTTGTACCCAGAAATGTCATCGTACACGGCGAGAGGCGCTTCCTATTATGACCTGTTCTGTTCAGAAACACACAAAGAAACAGTTTAACAGTTCTACCAGTTTAACAGTTACCCTTCTCGAACTAATAATCGAATCGTAAAATTTTTATTCCATCGAACTCTTGGTATATTTTTCTACACACTGTCGTAATTTCAAGTTTCTAAGTCTTATACATTTTGATGTCACAAAAAAAGGAAAGTAAAAACACTTAATATTGCTTTCAAACAAATTGGGAGAACACTCTTTGTTAAGTATGGTCCAATCAGCATGTCTAATTTCAACACTATAGTTGCATTCCTGTAGAACAAACCATATAGTATTTTTTCCAACGTGTAACTTAACAATTTAAGAACTAATATTTGAATGTCTTTTTATTCCATCGAATTTTGCACATTTTTCTTCACGAGTTAGTCATTTTAAGTTTCCAAGTCTTATGGTTTGTGTGCAGCGAAACAAAATGTAATGGTAAGTTGAACACCCAAAACAGCGGTATCGGCGGATCTTTCAATGTTAAGAGATACTAGAATAATTGAAAAATATACAAATAATAAATTATAATTCTAAAACACTAAAGTAATTCCTAAATTGAAGTTAATTTACCATTTAAGACGCATTGCATAAATATAATTAATATAACATATTAGACAATTGCATAAAAAACAGAGTTTTTTTTCTGCAAAAACAAGGATAGACATTAAAAAGCCCATTTTTTTGTATAAAAGGAGAATATAAGTCAAAATCATTTCAATTGATTCAAAATGTGATTTTATTAGAATTATAAATTCAACAACTATCTACTACTTACAAACTAAACAAACTATCTTAAGTTGCTGTTTAAAACAAAAATAAAAACTCCAGCAACAAAAAATCTGAAATGAAATGAAAGCAAAAGAATTACTTCTCAGCTTAAATGCATTATTTCTATGTATATCTGAAAAATTAAAAACACATTTGATTGTGAAAATACAAAAAATTCGCATGAATTCGAGAAATTTTTCAATGTGTGAGCAATAGTAAAGAAAAAGTTTCTTATAAACGCTTATAATTCACGAGACTCACCTATACCCAGAAAAGAAAATACTAAATCATATTTCTAAATCCAGAATTTTCTTTTTAATTTTAATAAAAATAACGTGACACTTAAACATAACAAACAAAAAATAAAGAAAAGAAGAAAGAACAAATTTGATGGTTCAAGTGCTTCAACTCACGCGAACTTGTTGTTTCCTCTCTGTTTGATACTTAGATTATAATTGTCAATCTTTAAGCAATTCACGAGACTTCATCGCCCGACCATGCAATGTGTTACAGTGATGATAAGAAGGTTTTTTTTCAGTCTGGTGCTATAATCATGTATGCTATTTAGGCAAAACTTTCTTAAAATGGAATGAAGTTCTCGAGATTCATAATTTCAGTATATAAAAAATAAAATTGCTTTTCTTTGAACAGTCATAAAAAACGTGACCCTTAAACTAAACTAAAAAATACTTTAAAACTAAAAAAAAAAAAATAAGAAAGAAAGAAAAAGTTCTGTGGTTAAAGTGCTTCAGCTCTCGTGGATTAAGATGCTGTTTCCTGACGTGGCATCCTCTCGGTTTGACACTGACTATCATTGCAGTTTTCTCTTTAACCCTTTTCGGCCAATCTGGCAACATTAATTCAACTGATGCTTCAAATCACTAGAAATATAAAACTAATTGCTTTTAAACAGCAACCACTATTCTTTAAACAACAAAGATCTAAAGCACGTTGCTTCACTTAATAGTGAAGTTCGTACTTGCTGATGCTCTAAAATTTTCAATCGAAATTTACTGCGCCGGAAAGGGTTAAGCAATTCACGAGACATAATTTCCCGACCCTACATGCGTTAAGGAAAGTACAGTGATGATAAAAAGTTTTTTTCAGTCTGTTACTAGGACCATGTATATTATTGGGTACAAAACTTTCTTAAAATTAAATGAAGTTCAGGAGATTCATAAATCCAGAATATAAAAAATCAAACTTTTACTAAAACTCTTGTTTTCCTTTTCACTTTCATAAAAATGACGTGACACTCAAATATAATTAAAAATAATAAGAAAGGAAAGAAAAAAAATAAGGAAGAATTCTGTGGCTGAAGTACTTCAGCGCACGCAGATTTAGATGCTGTTTCATCAAGTGGTATCTTTTTCTGTTTGATACTGATTATATCATGGTAGTTTCTTTAGCGATTCACGAAAATTAATACAAGAAAATACGGCGATGATAAAGAGTTTTTCTAAGCTTTTGTTGGAACCATAAATGTTATTTAGTGCAAAGCTTTTTTTAAATTGAATTGAATTCACGAGATACACAAATCCGAAATATAAAGTTTAAAAATATGACTATTAACATAAATAATTTTTTTTTACACCATTAGTAAAAATAGCGTAACATTTAAATGTAACTAGAAAAAAAAAAGAACGAATAAAGTTCTCTTTGGCTCAAGTGGTTCAGCTGAGCTAGAATGCTGTTTCCTGAGGTGGTATATCCTTCAGTTTGTTACTGATTATCATAATAGTTCTTAATTAAATTCATAACAATGTGTCGCCAAACCATACATGTGGTATAGAGATTAAGTTGATTATTTCAACTTGTTGCTTGGACCATGCAAATAACTCCATGATAAAACTGAATGTTCTGTTACAAGATGTGTTAGTAAATGTAATTCTGACTCGTTTCAAGCATGAATTGAAAATAATTCTAGAAACGTGCTTGGAAATATGATTTCGATCTATGATATATTTATCTACATCTGTATACTTGAAACTAAATGCCGAGAAGGTACTTTAGCTTCATGCTATATTACAATGCTTTTCTGGTCCGAACTTTTGATGTAGTATACTGAAGTTGATAAATGATTAATGTAAGTATTTGTCATAAATACATATTAAAAACATATTGTCTAACTTTACATAAATTCCTGAATATTGAGCATAAAATTAATGAGCAAAATGATTGGATGAAAATGAGTGGAAAATTGGATTGTTGATGATGAACTTTGGACCATGGATGATGTCAGTTTGGTTAGAACTTTAATTAGAAAATAAACTTTTTTTTTCAAAGTAATGTTTGAAATAGTTATCCCATGATTCATCTTAAATCAACAAGTAAATTTTACATGAAATATTCTATTTTATTCAAAGAAATCTTTTAATTTCATAAAAACTTCTTGTATCCAATAAGTTTTATGAAACTATACTTTCTGTATAAATTAAAAATAATCGACGTGTTCCTTAAATTTTAAAAAGTTGTTTAATTATTTTATATTATAAAACTCAATAAAGGCTTATAAAACTATTATACATTTGTATTTAAGAGCAAAAGATTAGCGAGTTCTTCAATTTTTTATTTTCAAATTATTTTGTATTATACACTATTAGTAATAATTTTTTTCAAGAACAAAGGGTCTAAATTTTAACAAGTATATATAATTTTTAAGAAAATCAGAAAGCATGCGTCTTTGTATTATTTTATAGATGTAACTCAAAATAAAAGTTATCTACCAACCCCATCTTGATGTTTGCTCGAAAAATGGAACAATGACATTCAGTCACAAATTCCTCACCTTTTATAAGAGATGTCTTAGCTGAGGTCATTTCTGCACCTGCAAATTTACCCAGATACCAAAGCCTCGAGGAATATATCTAGTTTTACAACTTGACCAAGAAGACATGATCTTGACCCTTTTTGCGACATAAAAGTATTAAAGAAAAAAACTTATTTTAAATTCAAGCGACCGGTTCAGCTGCTGATTACCCTGAAATCAGCTTTCATATTTTTTTCCAAAATTATATCCTTAATAAACCGAGC